CACCCCCTGTCTTAACCCCCCCCCTCTCCTCCCAGCCGCAGTCTCCCCCTCCCCCCAGCTCACCAACAGCAAGACCCCCCCCTTATTTTCCTTGCTTTTCTAGTTTTTAAGGTGATGCATGAGCTACCCCCGGAGCAGTAAAGCTTACCTTTCCCACATCCCAAGAGGGCCCCTCAGTTTCGGGGTGCTCCCCAGGCCAGGAAGGATGCTGGTCCTGTGCCGTGGGCGGTGCTGCTGCCCACTGACCTGCCCCGAGCCCGAGCTCTCATTCTCTCACTTACTCAAGGCAGCTTTCCGTTTTTGGGTTACACTCAACTGCCGGTGCTCACACGTTTCCTGTTTGCCGCCTTGCAAGCGGGGTGCAGGAAGGGCCCGTCCAGAAGGTCACAGCCCCCCAAACCACCTCCCTAAAGGCACTGTCGGGAGCTGCAGCAGAAGTCCTCGTGCTTTCCTTGTTTGTAATGGTCCAGCCAAGGCTGGAAGGTGTTTGGGGCAGGGGAAAAGCATCAGAGAAACAGCAAATGTCATTTTAAGAGTTCAAATAACCCAAACTACAAGACCGCGCCTAACCTACGGGTTACAACATCCTACCAAAGACAGGACAAACTGCAACCCCCCCTGCAGAGGCTCCTGGGCCCCAGGCATTGGGGATCTCCCCCACTGTGCTGCTCACACTGATATTTTTTTTCAAAGCTCCTGCCCGAGTTATTAACTCTGCTTTAAAGCCAGCACCACAGCCACCGGCTGCCTGCGCTCTGCACCCGCTCTGCTTTGCGAGAGGGCAGGGGAAGCAGACAGGTCACGTGCATTTTTTGCTCCACTTCAACTGCAAAATGGGAAAAGACCCCACGCTTAAAAAAAACTAACAAGGGGAAACACAAACCCTTATGTTCAGGTTCCAGTTAGAATTAACAGCCACCAGCTCACAGCACGGTGCTCAAGCTCTGGGGCAGGAGCCGTGGGGTGGAGGCTGGTCTCTGCCCGGCTCTCCCCATCCCAGCTGGTTAAATCACCTGCTGGGAACCGGCTGCACAGGTGCCCTGCCCCATCACACCCTCTGAGACACGGCCCAGCCCTGCTCAGGTGCTGGTTAACCTAACGAAGCAACAGCCAGCTCAAGTGCAACCGCTCCGCTTGGGCATTTGTGGGCCAGTTCAGGGCTCAGCTCGCTCTGCTCTACTCTCCGAGGGAAGCTGGCGCCCGTTACCCCAGACTGAAGCGCCCCGGTGGCCAGGCTGGGGTGCTCAGGCTGCAAAAGTCACCTCTGAGCTCACGTTTGTCACCGCATCTCACAGCCCCTGGGGCAGTTTGCCGCTGCACAGAGAAGGCTGAATTTTGGCTTTGCTTTCTCTGAGGGTGCTTTTGGAAGGAAACCCCTAAATACACCTGGGAGAGCTCACTGATTCATCCCCTCTGCCCAGCATGACTCAGCACCAGCTGCAGGAGGGTGCAATCCAGCCCCACAGCAGCAACGGCCCTTTCCAGCCCCGAGGAGATGCTGGGCAGGTCTTGGTGATGGGCGGTTGAATATAGTGGGGAAAGGAGGGGAAGCGCCTGACCCTCCTCCCAACCCTGCTCGGCTGTGGTGGGACTTTGAACCCTGGCATCCTCGCTCCATGCTGCGGCAAGGCTAGGATGGGAGACCAGCAAAACACAACCTGGACTGAACGTTCAAGGTTTCCATCCGTTCCTCAGCTGCTGGACGCTCATCACCATTTTGTGACCCCAAAGCTGCGGGGGGGGACCAAGCTCCCTCTTGCACAGCAGAGCCAGACCCTGGCTGTGCTCAGAGCCCTGCAAACAGGGACAAGGGGTTATTTACTGATTTATCTCTCACTTCCTCCATCGCCACCGCTCCTGATAAGCAGGAGGTGACGGCAGAGGGGAGCAGCTGGCAGCAGCCAAGGGGGCTGGAAGGACTGACATAGGAAAGGTTAAAAGGGCCGAATCTGTCAGGCTCGACTCAGCAGCAGCTAAAAGGCTGCGTGACTCTGCCCTGCAACAGCATTTCGAGGGACATCGGTGTGCATGGGCATCACCCAACACTATGGGGACAGGCCACAGGGACGTGCTTTAAGGATCCTTGGTTGATATCATCAAAACTTTATTTTCACCTCTGCAAATCGGGTCATTCATGACATTAACTGTAACAAGCTCATGGTCCACAGATGCATCTTGCTCAGCCCTCAGAGGCCCCATCCCTGCTCCCAGGGGATCTCAGCCCAGCATCCAGCAGCTCCCGTCTCAGTCCCACCTGGGTCTTGTCGCTGCATGTTTTCAGCAGCGCCACCACTTTCTCTTACATGTCCCTGTCCCACAACATGGGTCACCCTCATTGGCCCAGGCACCCAGGACCCCATTAAAGATGGAGCGGGGATGTGACCAGGTTGCCCATGGCTAATGGCCACTTGCCCCACCAGACAGGGCACTAGGGGTTAGGAGCAGAGCACCAGGGTCACAGTGGGGAAGGGATAACAACATGGGCAGCAGAGGAGCCTATGGTCACCTGGGGTCCCTGCAGTGAGACCCTGCACAGGTGGCAGTGGCTTCTGCTAGGGACATGGTGGCAGCACCAATCCTGCACCCAGGTCCACAGCACAGAGCTGGCCTAAAGGAGTCAAGCGGAACACACAGGCTGCCGGGAAGGTTTAGCCCCCCCCCACACCCCTGCTTTGGTGTTTCATGCTGCAGAGGAGTCTCCCAGGGCTGCGCCAGCCTCGTCCCACAGCTGGGTTTGTGCTACAGCCCCCCCCCTGCTCCCAGCCAGCCCCCAGCTCATGGCTGCACCCCCAGAGTGACCCCCAAACCCCCAGCAGGGACCCAGACCAGAGCACCCTCCTCCCACAACCAGACCCTGCTCCCAGCACAGTTACTACCAGCAGCCCTGAGACACCACACCCCTTACCACAAGTGTTTATTCAGAGCTAACATTTATAGACAAACAGGTATTTCCCCTTCCCCCCCACATAGATTTAATAGCATTTTTCTTATAAATAAACATTTAATGCTGGGAGTTTGCCAGCTTCACCGACAGCAAAGTGCATCGCAGTGCAAGGAGGGAGGTTGACCCTATCCCTTTTCTGCCTGGGACCATCTTGCACCAGTTTCCAGAGTCCAAATCCAGCAGAGCAGGAGATGAACCCCGTGAAAGTGCTGAGACCTGACAGTGTCGAGTCCTTCAAAAGCATCCTTCAGCGCTGGGACCAAGCGGCCTTTGCTCCGGGACATCTCTCAATCCCAGAGGCTCTGCAGAGCCAGGTGAGGGTTCTCTCTCCCCCAGCCCCAAAGGAGAAAGTCCAGGGGAAAAAAAAAAAAAAAGCACTACAATTTCTTCTTTCGGTGTCATCCTTGCTGGTGAGCAGGACTCCTTCCCCAGAGCAGCCCACCACAGCCAGAGGAGGCAGCTCCCCAGCCCGTGTCAGTGTTGAAGGAGGCAGGAACCTGGGAGCAAACGGCACCACACAACAAGCCAACAACAGGGTAGGAAAGTGGGGGTTGGGTCAGCAGCATCCAGGGGACCCCAAAGCCTCCCCAGTAACATTGGTCCCACAACAAGTTCAGCACTGGGGACCTCCAGTGGGTTTGTCACCATCTGCAGCCTGTCTGACAGGTGACAGCACTGGTGAGTCACCCGGAGGAAGGGCTGTCCAGGGAACAGCATTTCCTCTCTCAAGCAGCGGTGGGAAGGAGCAGCCCCTGTGTCACTCCGCTTCCATGTGTGGATGAGGGTTTGCCACCGCTGGGTTCATCCTGCTGGGAAGAGGGCCAGCAACCAGGGTGTCCTCAGGGCCAGGCTGACCCAGGGCTCTGCAATCTGTACCAGTCACCCTTTCTTGAGGATATGTGGTGCCACCAAGTGGCTGGGACACAAGTGTCCTCCATGGCTAGCCATCAGGCAGGGGAAGGACCACAGCTGGACAGCAGGATGGTGCAGGGATGATGCTTGGCCCCACCAACACAGGGCAGAGGACACACTTTCTTCTCTGCAGGCAGGGCAATGCCTTAGTCCCACCGGGTCCATTTCAGTCCTCCCCCATCCACCTCCGTGGGACTACAAGCCTCAACATGGGCTACTCCTATACATTGCACACAGTGAAGGTCCCTCAGGACCCCAGAGCTACTCATAAATAGGGAACTACAGACTCTACATTGCTTCATACAGACAGCTTACACAGTACAGAGTGGGGGAAAAGAGCCACGGACACCCCCAGGGCACATCAGCATCAGCAGCTGTCCCTGATGGCAGAGGAGCAGAGTATCACCAGGTCATGGCTTGGGCTTGTCAGGGACAATCTTCCGCTTGGAGCTGTAGAAGTCTGAAAGGCAGAAAGAGAGGGTTGGAAAGTGCCTCCCGCCCATCAGGAGCAGTAGGACAGGAAGAGGGTGGTGTCCCCAGGGAAGGGCCCCAAAACCCAGCCCAGGTGGACTCTTTTAGACTCATCCACCCAAAGCTGTGCATTCCTGGAGAGAAGAGCCTGTAGGTCTCCATCTCTTCTATTTGGTCTCACCTGCGCTTCTACCCCAGCCCTTGATCTTAGAGGACAGGCTCAGGCCATGGGAACTGAGGGTGATGAACTATTTTGGGGCACATTCAGCTATAAGGTGGTCCCATCCCCATGCCTGGGTGCAAGAGCCTTGCCTGGCTCCTAAGTTCCCTCCATCTGTCCCTACCAGGAAAGCTATGACACCAGCAACAGACCAAGCATGCATGGAGTGACACCAAGCCTCCAGCACTCACCTTTGATGGTGGTCTGTCCACGTTTCAAGCTCTGTGGGGAACCAGCCCTGTAAACCTCCAAGTTCTGCTGAGACCCCTCCGGGCAAATCCTGCCAAGACAGTCCTTGGGAGAGACCTTGCAGACCAAGGAGCTCCTGCTCTCACTGCTGGTGACCTTGACCAGGTTGTGAACCTCCTGGGGCAGCTGCTCAGCCAGGAAGACTCTCTCCCACTTGAACTGTCCTTCCAAGGGAGTCTCCGTCTCAAAGTTGAAGTTCCAGCGCTGCTGAGCTTCTTCCAGGTGTTGCTTCAACAGTTTCTCAGAGTCATTCTGGAGCTGGTGATGGTCCACAGGGCCAAAGAGGTTCCTGCACACCTTGCTGCTGCATGGCACCTGCCTGGCCCTGCTCTGAGACAGGGGCATTGTGGTGGCTGGGAGGAAAGCAGACCAAGTTACTGGTGTGTGGGACAAGCCACGAGCAAGCCCAAGGGCCAGCACATTTGCTACTAGAGCAAAGTGCACAGTAGCCAAGGTGGGACAAGCAGCGTTGGGCTCTGCAGTGAGGCAGCCCAGAGGGGACCTCCATCTGCCAGTACTCATCTTGGACATTTGGGATTTTAGTGGTGTCTTGGGCAGGGACTTGAGCATGACTGAGGTCAAACACAGCCTGGTGTGATGCAGAAGGATGGGGAAGGTGCAAATGTTGATGTTCCCCACTCCTTCAGCAGGTAAAGCCCTGCCAGGGCAGAGCATCTGGCACCTTGATGTTGCCACCGGCTCCATCCACAACCCCACTGCGTTCCCACTTCCACAGGCGCAAGGCAAGTTGGCACATGGGCAAGTGAAGCAACAGGATGTTTTTCTGGCCAGTTTCTTCATCTCAAAAACCCAGGTCCGGTGGCAAAGCAGCCTTTTAAGCAACTGCAAGAACATGCCACAAGCTCGACCACTTTGTTAACCACCCTCCTTATCTGGAAGAAGCTGTTGGGTAACCAGAGACAAGACCCTGTTTGTTTTTTTTCAAATCGGTGCCAAAAGCCTGACCTTCACAGTAAGTGGCAAAGCCTTTCCTTCCCAAGCAGTCCTCCCTCTTACACATGCGTGGGGCTAATGAATCCCCCGTGCCACCCGCGGCTATGAGGAACCTTGTTATCAGAGCAAAGCAAACAACGCTCTGGAATTTGACGGCTTTCGGAACTAAGGCTTGACCCCACTTGGATAGCCGTGCTCGTTAAATCTGCTTTAAAAAAAAGATTCACAGAAATAAAACCCCTGCATGCAAGCCAGCCTGGTCATTGCCCACCCAATCTGGGACCACAACAGACCCCCAGGCTTGCACCCCCCACCCCAGGGATGGGGTGTTCGGCCTCCTGCAGGGGGGATTCCTGGCCAAATTCAGCACCCCCAGCCCCTCCAGATCATCTGTGCCACATTACCAGGCACGGTCTGCCAGCGGGCAGCTGGAGAACCTCCGGTCCCCGGGGCCACCCCAACTCTCTGCCCCTGCCCCGCTCCCAGCCCAGACTGAGCATCCCCAAGTAAAAATAGAAATCCAGCTTCCTATCTCCTGGCAGTGAGAGCGCACAAACAGGGTGACCTCATTGCAAGGCAAGTCCCAGCATGTCCAGGCAAGCCCTGGCAGGTAGCAGGCAGGGGCCATGTTTCAACACCCTGACCGGACACCCTCCAGCCCTCCCCGCCTGTGTCAAGCGCCCATCTCCCCATCCCCAGGCCACTGCCATGGCCCAGGTGCCACCCTGGAGCCCCGCACCCCGAGATAACAGCTTCGCCCTGACTCATGATTGCAGATTGCCAGAGCCACCAAACGGGGCCAGGGAAGGACAAGGGCCAGGACACAGGGCGAGGTCCCGTCCCCCGCCCGTGGGGCTGGCGTTGCTTTGAGCAGCCTCTCCAAAGCTTCAAGGCTTCCTGCAGCACAGCTGGAGAACCCCAAGACCAGGGCAAAGAGGCAATGCAGGTGCACGGTTGCATTAAAGCCTCACCCGGCTT